TTAATACCAAAATCTGCATGACATGAAAGTCTGACAAAAAGTAATCAAATTCAAGTATTCAGAAACAAATATGAAGTAGCTGAAATGGTTTTCAGTCAAATGTCAAGGAATCTGAAATTTTCTTGAGACCGGAAGCTGTCAATATATTTAATATTAAATTATAATTATTATTTTGAGGTAATTAGTTTAGAATCATCTATTTTGGGAAGCGCCTGAAGTCTTGTACAAATTAAAAAGCTATTTTTCGAGCATTCGTGAATTACGTAATTTTCACGACCAATAGCAATATAATAAGGCATAGTTGGGAAAGGAGGCTAGTTCCACATCTGACTAGTGTTTTTAGTCATATCGTTGTTAAATATTTATTTATTTCAAATGGCAGGCGTTTTGATAGTTATCATTAGCCCTGGAGCTGACTTCGGGGCTTCACAGAAGGGAGAAGGAACATCAAAGTGACAAATATTCGAGATGGGAGACAGAAAAATGATTCACAGAGGTAAAAGAGACAGATGGACAGACACAAAGGCATAAAAAGGTAAAATGAGTACTGCGAAAGGGGTCGAATATGACAAATAGTCGGGCCATAAAAGTTTGAAGTCAGAAATCAATTGCCGATCAATAGACTTTTTTTCCCGCATAAGTATACGTTGCCCAAGGTGCACCACGGGGAGGTAAGTCTATTGCGCACCCCGTTGTTAAATATAACGTATAGCTTAAATCAAGTATAAAATTTTAGAGGAGGAACAACAATGGTATACGATTGCATAATTTGTTAATCAATTAAAACTTCATTATAAAATATGACTGGGGCAGAAGTAATATGACTTTCAAAGCATTATTTAAGAATTGAGTTAGAAGAGAGTCAAGTAGACAGATTGGTGACTTGAAGTAAAAGAAACCGGATTCTATTTCTCTAGATATTCCAAAATGCACAACGTTTGATCGAAAATTGAAACTAAGAATACAATTCTATATTTTCAGCTCTGGCGACGGAAATCGAAGAGCTTTTTAAAATGGAATTTTATTGAATGAATTGATTTTTCATTTTGATCTTTTAATGTTTATTTTTTTTATTTCCTAAAATTCTAAATAAATTGTGACAATTAACAGTTATTTTAAATGAAAGTTTTATGTTAATTAATATTGCACGTCAAAGTTTATATTTTTCAGGATTAATTTGAAAATTGCTTTATTTAAAATATTTAATCATTATTTGAATACTTTTGCACAGTTTATATTACCTTAGAGGAATATTCCCTAAAAGCTTTTAATGGATGTAATTATTTAAATAATAACATCGTTAATGGCAGGAGGATCAGTAAGACAATAGGAAAATCTTTGAGATAATCCAAAAAATTTTATTTATTTGATTTTTGTCATCGGGTTGAACAATATATAATGAATGAACTTTTTTCTTGCCAAGTTTTCATTTTTATTATGCACAGCCTTGCCACTTCAATTAAAATTTTCGTTCAATGGTTAAGAAATGTGAACGATCTTACATGATTTTCGGTGGTGAACCGTCTTAACATGGTAAAAATGTGGATGTTGAAACCCTAAGTTAACGAAGCTCTGAAAACTGTGTTCGATGAAGGTGAATGCATCGAGTTCCATTCCGAATAAAAAAATTACCACACTCTACTAAAAGCTCTCTCAATAATATGACAAATAAATTATTAAATACTGTTAATTAGTTTTTTTAAATATTGCAAATTAATTTTTTTTATAGTGTGCTTGACAGCCTAAAGTACTGCATTTCTATTCATTTTAAAAATACTAATTTAAGGACAAATCAAAGTGAGAAGAATGAAATTTTTTATGCGGTTATTTAAATGAGGTATTTTATTTTTATTAGTTTTTTGAAGACAATTGTCGCAGATATAAATATTTTGTTATTTTGAAATAGCTGTAAAATTCATTTTTTGTGAAGGGATTTCAATTAAGCACAACATGATCGTGCAGGTAAGTGATTGGTTGGAATAAATTTTACTCCAATTGGATTGATTTGCATGAACATATATATGGCCACTTGAGCACCATTCAACAGTTTTGACAAGATTCTCACAACATCAACACCACAGGAAACATGAAATCGTAGGTGGACGTTATGCCTCTTGTTAATTAATGCCTTATATAACTCATATTTAAATTGTATTTTGTGTTTAAAACGTATTTGAGAAATTTTAGTTAAAATTATAAATATTTAACCTCTCAAGTATTAAATAAATATATCATTTAATTTTGAACATTTACTTATATTTTAATGGGAATTTTAACTGTTTGTAAAGATGTTTGCCTTAATTTCAAACCAATTAAATTTTCATCAACGCTTTATGCTACATTCGTTTCCTTATTAAATAAAGATGTAAACGTATTTTACACACACATAATAGCATTTATCGATACTTTTAAATTAAATAGTTATTCGCTCACAACAAAATATCTGTTATGATACGAGTTTAACAAATATCGAAAGGATTTTGGGTAACTACTCACGGAAGTACACTAATCGATTTCTTTTAGAAAAATGTGTTTAATAAATTTATTATTCAGTATGGATGATCATTTGAAACTGGGTAATTTAATAACTGGTACTATTGTTAGTTTTGTTTTCGTAATTTATTCTTCTTTGTATTATTATGATTATTAGTATTAATAAATACTAAATACTGCAAAATACCACTATTATCTAATCTCAAATATTAATTGTATAGACCTCTGGAAATCATATAAGTAATCTAATTCTCTTTCGTGGTCTACTTTAAAAACCGTGTCTTTCGAGAAATTATTTTATGATATCTTTAACGGATTTGGGAATGAATTCAATTTTTATTTAATATATGAGCATTGTGACAATTTAGATCCGTAACTTCTGCCTTATTCGGAGTGATTCTGGTCAGCTTTCTCAGCATTTCAATTGGTCAAGCCAACGCTGTCGGCAGTCCCGATTCCTCTAACTACGAGACCGCAGAGAATGGAGGAGCTCTCGATTTTGAAGTTCTGCTTCAAGAGAACTTGGAAGAGATGCGAGAATTAAAGAATCTGATTCGTCGTTATCTCGCTAATCCACCTCCCAACTTCCACAAACGAGCTCAATTTCTACGACTTGGTCGTTGAGTTCTTGGCTTGTTTTCCTTCTGTAAGAATTTAATAGGAACGGCTTGATGCAGCGGTGACGGGTTGATACTTTAATTGTTATTAAATTCTTTACCCGTTTTACACTAACTCCTTCCGTTTAATGCAATGAATGCAATCGTTACTAAGACTTGTTATTACTCATTTCATTAAGGCAAACAATTGATTCTACTTCTGTGATGCAAATTGGAAAGCAAGCTTTGCTTCTAAACAAAATCAGTAAATTTTGGAGCTATCGAATGTGTATAAAGGAAACTGGTTAAATATGCAATGATAGACGAGGATGTAGTAAATAGGGAAGTTTTTTCTTAAAGCAACTACAACTACTCGAAAATAGGCAATAATTGATAAGTGGAAATAATGGGAAATAAAATCGATAGGTAGTGTGGTAATCCAACAACTAATTCCCTTTAATATACAAACGCCAGTCAACAGGCAAATTAGAAAGAAATTTAACTTATCACTAGGCTTTCCCCTTCTCGACCTTACAAAATCAATAATTTAGCACGAATACTCATAGAGCAAAGAAATTGAATTATGTATGTGCTTTCTTTTTCCGAAGAAAATGAGACAAAAAATATTTATATAATTAAACTTCAAATGTCAACATCTACCTCTAATGCACCCATTTGCAGTGAAACTGAGATCCAAAGGTTTTAGAAATGGATTTTAAGTTTTAAATAAGCAAATAGTGAGACCCTTTTTCTCTCTCAAGCATACTAATTTAATTTTAACTGAATAAATAAATATTCAAATTTGTGAGTGAAAGTATAAAAATATGATTTATAAAAGGAAAAACGCAGATGTACGAGTATCCTCTGGGCCTTACGTGAACAAATTTTCATTAAAATTGGAAAAAATTTCACCAAAAATATGATTAAATTCGCTACCAGAAAGCAAGACCCAATTATTTTTCAAGTCTAACAAAACGGAAATTCACGCTTTGACTGCATTAAATGCCTTTACTCCTTCTAACTTATTGAGCTCGGATGAAATTCCTTTTAATCAAGAACTTTCAATACTGATAATTCAAAAGTTGTGCGCAAAATATGGTAATTAATATAAACAAAAGAATTTTGAATAAATAAGAATGCATACAAATGTCTCAATGCTTTTTTCTCCTACATGAGAGTGAAATGCGCTAGTCACCTAATAGCAGCTCTCTACAAGCCACGTGGAAAACATTGTAATCATCCAACCTTTTGGAATGGACCAACTGTTGGACAGCTCCTTCCATTATCAGATGAATAAAAACTCATTTGTGGAATGTTTATGTCCGGGCAAATACAATTATCTTTATAGCCAAGATTTAATCAGTTGAAATACTCTCAAGCACCTATGCCATGAAAGACACGGAGGCGATGATTTTAACCTGATCTATACAGAAATAGTTGCAGTTAAAACTAAACTATCCTAATTTCCCGCTATACCACTCTCTGCTTGATAAAAGTGGAATTAAAAGTTTGACTATCCCCAGCAAATATCTGATTCGACCCTTTAAATCTCTGAACATGTTAATATTGATTTCGTTATTATGATTATGAGAAAAATCGATAATATTGTTTCTTCCCAAGGTTATCAATGGTCTCATGAGTAATCGGAACACGAATAATGACGTCAACTTAAAAATACTGTCGCATGTCTCACGAAATATTAAGTTATATTAGATTTTTAGTGCTTAAAAAGCCTTTGACAACTTTATCTTCGTGGTTATGACTGAAAGAAGAACATGTACCCAGATATCAGTAAAGGAAAATCAAGTTATTCTCATTCAAGCTCATCATGAGAGTCTGAGCAATTTGAAGCTCCTAGAATCAAAATAAAATAAAAATTCTGGCATTCCAGCATTCATTCTTCCGAACCACCATACGACCCACTGTTTTATCTCTTCGGAAAATGCTGTTGATCCCTTGACACTATCCCGGGGTTTAAGCATGTCGGTTACTTCATGCATCATTGGAAAAGGCAATAATAAAATTGACTTCTCTGGCGGCAATGAAACCGTCTAGTATTTCCCCACATTTGTTACTGCTAAACTTTTCTACGGAATAAATAAGTTTAGAGGTGAAAACTCTTTTCAAGGAGGAATACACAGTGAATCGTCATAAATCGTGAAATCTAATTTTTGACTCGAGTTAGCCAGTTAAGATCTCAACTAAAATTATGCATTTTACATTAGTCTACCGATAGCATCTGTTAAATAGCCCAAACAAGAGAGTTATACGTGAAAGAGAAATAGCAAATGTAACCCTTGCAGTCACGGAACCTTTCCGAATAAACTAGCGATCGAAATACACTAATAGACCGGTCATTACAAATCCAAAAAATGGTCTGAAAACTAATGAGCACCTTTCTTTGTAGATGATTTCATGCTGCACTTTCGAGTTTATACAATGACTAACAAATTAAATGTGCCTTCTCTAACATCAATCGCAAAAAACTTGGCCTTGAAGATCATTTTTGCCCATTGACTTCACCTTCACAAACTCCACTTTCCTTCAAAAGTTTACAAAACCATTTCCTTTCAAATATACTTCAATATTTTCCATAATTATAATTGTAATGGTAATAGTAAAAATAAAAAAAAACAAGCCCATCCGTGTAGGGTTGAAATTTGAGGGGAGAGCCAAGTGGGTGTGCGATAGACTTACCTCCACGTGGTGCACCCTGGAAATATGCCTTCACTATCAACATCTTATTTGGAAGCGGAGGGGTGTGTGCGATAGACTTACCTCCACGTGGTGCACCCTGGACAGCGTGCGATAGACTTACCTCCACGTGGTGCACCCTGGGCAACTTTCAACCCTTGCTGGTTTTCTAAACAATTATTCTTAAGAATACGATAGACTTACCTCCACGTGGTGCACCCTGGACAACGTACTTTCAAATGGCAGGCGTTATGATAGGTATCATGGGGTGTGCAATAGACTTACCTCCGTGGTGCACCCTGGGCAATGTATATTTAGACTTACCTCCACGTGGTGCACCCTGGGCAACGTATACTCATACGGCAAAAAGGTCTATTAACCGGCATTTGACTTCTGACTTCAAACTACCACAACCTCCCTGGTTGTCATATTCGACTACTACCACAGTACTCATCTCACCTTTTTTTCTACCTTTGTGTCTGTCTGCCTCTTTTACATTTGTGAATCGCTCTTCTGTTCCCCACCCCTCGACTTTCTTCTACTTTGATTAACCTTGATTACCATGACCCCACTGTGTGTCATATTTGACACCTTCCACAGTACTCACCTCACCTTTTTTCTAACTTTTACATCTTTGAAACACTCTTCTGTCCCCTCCC